GGATCGCCGATTCGCCGATCCGAATCGATTTTTTGGAAGCCCGATCCGAGTCATCGATCCGTTTTTTAAACCATTGGGTAAAACCATTCAAAACTTGTTAAAAATAGGAGATTTAAAAAAAACTTATCCTAAAAATCCAACCCGTACAAAAAAATTAAATGTTGCATTTTAAAGTTTAGTACGATTCTAATTCCAAAATTCATTTAATCTATGACATCAATATTCATAAATTATTATTTTCAATATAGTGTGCTAAAATATTAAAAGAAATATCAGTAAAAAGTCAAGAAAGCATGCCAAAATAGTAAGCACGAAATTTTTTTATTTTTAATCATTGAGGGTAGACTTTTTGTGTCAAAATTTTGAGATTTTTTTATTAAAGATTTTAGAAATAAAATACCACGTACAATAAAAAAAGAAAAAGATAGAAAGAAAAAAAAAAAGAAGAAAAATCATGCAAAAATCTAGCAAGAGAGATGAGGAGAGAGATGAGGAGAGATTGAGCCGGTTTATCCAAGAGAACCGACAAAACTAGCTGGTCAAACAGGTTCTGCCAGTCAATCACCGGTTTTGCCAATTCTGAGCCAATATAATTTTGTGCTCCTGTTCGACTGGACCAGGGTCTGGCCACTAGTTCCACTGAGTCAAATTATTGGTTTGGTCCGATCTAATCTTAATAAAAAATAATATTTATAAAAAATAATAATATAAAGAGACTATTTACTTTTAATAGAACGATAATACAGCCACTATTGTCCATCAAATTTCAAATCGTGCGATTGTGAGTATGTTATAAACTATATCCAAAATTCAAAAGAAATTTCCACCCCAAGTCATCCAATTTATGTAACAGTCGGAAGCAATTGTAACCATTTAGATAAATAATGTCATAATATACATTGCTATTTGTAAATGAACAATTGTTTCATGTGGACTAGATAGCATTTTTACAATATGCTGTCTATAGGTATAAAGCATCCATCTTAAATATCGATGCAAATAGGTAGTACATCTAAAAATGATTATAACTAACGGTTCAAATGTTTTTTTTAATACAATTATTGTTTTAGCTTTCAAAATTTAATTTTTTATTCATATTCATGATCTCCATATTAAAAATTATATATTCCTTAAAAATTAGGACCAAATTATATTTAAAAATATATTTATTGCTAAGCCCGCATTTTTACAATATGCGGGCTGGCCGCATAGAAGCCGTATCCTTTTTTATTTTCTATGTTTTTCTCAAGAAATGTTGACGCTCTTAGGGGGAAAAATATTCCTTTTTAGTTCATGGGAATTCCGAGGCATTTACCGTGAGATTTTATCACTGGGTATGCCGGGTAATGGTGAATTTCTTTTGATATTTGTTTCCATTTTTAACCATTTATTTATGGAAATTGTGGGTTCCTTTGATTTGAATTCCCACTCTGGAAACAAGTTTTTCTTGGGCGTCATGGTTTCCTATATTGATTAGTTTTTCTTGGGCTCTTCGGGTTTTTTTGTGCATTCTCTCACTAGCAGCAAGAGAGTGTCAGGAGCATTTGGAAATCATGGATTCCTCTGATTCATGGACTGGAACTTTCCCCGATGATGTTATCATGAACATTCTTGCTAGATTGCCTGTCAAGTCTATGTTTCGCTTCAAATGCGTATGCAAAGCATGGCATAAGTTGACTTCTGATCCTTATTTCATCAAATTCCACAATGAAATGCCTTCTGCAAGCTCGGGAGTTTTGGTCGAGATTGTGCAGTCAGTGTCAAACCAATCAAATTTTGTATGTATCGATAGCTCATCTCACATGGCTGAGTTTTCATTGGATTTCTTGAGCGATCGGGTGAAAATTAGGGCATCTTGTAATGGGTTATTGTGTTGTGCTAGTATTCCAAATCGTGGGGTTTATTACATTTGCAACCCAGCTACTCGACAATGGAGAATTCTTCCAAGGACTAGAACAAGGCCCGTAACTAGATATCACCCTGATGATGAAGCCAACCTCGTTGGGTTGGCTTTTGATCCTAAATTTAAAAAATTCAATGTTGTTTTGGCTGGTTTTTATCGGCCTTTTGGTCGAAGAGCTCTCGATTGTTTGGTTTGTCAAATTTTTGATTCAGAAACCAACTTATGGAGGAGGTCTATAGTGACCCAAAATGATGTTTTTACTCACATGAACAGGAACCAAGTTGTGTTTGCTAGGAGGTCTCTTCATTGGTTAACTTACAGTACATCACATATACTTGTTTTGAATTTAGATAAAGAAATTTGGATGAGAATTCCCTTGCCAAATGTGTTAGTGGGTGCTTATAATTGCAGAGTTTATCTATTGGAACTCGAGGGAGCGGTGTCTCTTGTTCAGATAACAGAGGGTTTCATGAGTATATGGGTGTTGGATGATTGTGTAGGCGAGAACTGGGTTGAGTTGGAAAGAGTGAATTTAAGGTGTATCAAAGGGTTTATACCTAGCATCTTCCCAATAAGCCAAAGCAGGGATTTGATCTTTTTGGCAACCCAAAGACATATATTTGTGTATCACTTGAAAAGCATGGTGTGGAAGGAGGTTTACTCAGTGAAAAATTCAGTTGCTTACCCATTGTGGTTTTCTTCATATGCTCATAGAAGCACACTTTATTCTTGGTAAAAGTTCAAATTTCTTTCAACCTCCTTTTTTTTTTTTTTTTCATTTTTTTCTCTTATATGTTTCATTTATAGTTCTTATGTTGTACTTACGTTGGCCTCAGCTATAATTAATTGATGTGCTGGTATCGATTGTATATAACACAGAATTTGTGATAATGGATGCAGCCTACTAATAAAGTTTCTGTTACTGATAAAAAAGAAAACAAAATTGCTGTCTGCATTCGTTTTCTGCCAATTTCTTCATAGTTATATGGGTCTTCTTTTTGTGTCTTGCTGGAAAATTGTTTTATTTTATTTTATCCATGTATGTTGTCCAATAAAGGTCTTTTTGTTTCTTGATTGGTATGTTGGCCACGTTGAATAAAGCGATATGATTTTTAGCACTCATATGTTGTTTCTTCTTTTGATGCTGCTGTTGAGATAATTCTTCTTCTTAATGCTTTCTTGATGTTTTGTTTGCTTGTTGCTTTTTGCTTCATTTTGGACCAACACAGAATGACACTTATCATTGGGCAAAATATGGATAACAGTTATTATCTTATTGATTTTTAAGTTGATGATGTCGCTGCAATGCAATCCGTATACCATATGCAGGATTGTGGATTCTTCCATTATTTAGATGACTTGCAGGTTTCAACTTTTTGCTTTTCCCCTTTTTCCTCAGAAAGATTTAGACTTGAGACAATTTCTACCATCATAAACTATGATTTAGTTATTGGAAAAATTTTATATAAGATTGAGACTCTCAAAAATTCACAGGATCTGGAAGAGGTCCTTTCGATGTTGAACAACACTCAAATCAATCATCTTGACCTCGAGATGTATAGACGTGGAAAAAAAATGGATTTCAAGTTCGGGAAATAGTGCATCTTTTAATGTGTTATCTAGGCCGTCAATTTTCAATATTTTCTAGTTTTTATATATTTGCTCGATCTACTCTATTTTTGAAGCTTTAAATTTTATAATTAGAGATGGAAATAAATTTTCAGGCCTTCACAAAGATTTTTCTTTTGAAAGATCATCTTTCACATTATTCAGAGGTATGCCCTACGTTGATTGTTTTCAAACCACACCCTTAGTTATTTAGAAGGGCGCCAGAGTATTTGAAGTATACTATTCATACTCATGATTTTTGAATAACGTTTCGCAAGTTGCATAAGATGATAAGACTCTCTCTCATCTCTCTCTCTCTCTCCAGAGTATTTGAAGTATACTATTCATACTCATGATTTTTTGAATAACGTTTCGCAAGTTGCATCAGATGATAAGACTCTCTCTCATCTCTCTCTCTCTCTCGTCTCTCTCTCTCACTCTCTCTCTCTCTCTCTCTCTCTCGGTTATACTTGCATTAGAGCATTGCGGAGCCTCTCGCTTTAACCTTTGAGTCAATTTTCAATGTAAATGTTTCATCTGTATAGGAAACCAAAGTGTTAATTTGCTGTCATTGTGCCTGCACTCATCATCTATGTCCATTCATCCCTTCTTTTTTCACTTTTAAAACATATTTATTGTGTAAAATATGTCCTGACTGAGTACTCAGCGCACGATTTGGTGAAACTTCAGCATGCATTTTCTCCCAAAGGCTCCATTGACATATTAGGAGCTACAAAGTTAGCTTGCCATTCCCCCTTCCCACAGCCTGTATCCTGGATGGTTAATAGATGAGCTTTTGATCACATGATAGGTGTTACCTGTTTTTTTCTTAATTTTGCAATTTATTCCCATCTGCTGATCTAAAATATTTAGATGGATCTTGTCGCTAATCCATATTAGACTTGTACATGGGTATTCATCTTCAGTATTTGGCTTCGGAACAATTGAGATTTCTTCTTTGTTGTCTTTTTTAGGTATTATTGGTACCCATTTTTTCTGCAAGCCTTTTATTGTTTCTTTCTCTCATCAATTGAAATGTGGTTTATTTTCTTTTTAACCTATTGGATCTTTCAGGACCCACAAATGGGAGGACAAGTGGGAAGTTACCTTTGCATGTTGTGAACCTTTCCGTTATAAATATTCATGTGTTTTAAGTTGCATTCTTTATTAAAGTTTTGGATCTTTGGAGCAGTAAACAAGAATTAAAAAGACGTAACCCAACACCTTACGCCACGAGCTGATGGTAGCCATGCACCCCTTGTGTCTGCATTCCCGAAGGCACCGCACTCTTTCAAGAGGATTCACAACATGTTAAGCCCTACTAAGGTTCTTCGCTTGGCAATCAAACTAAACCACATGCTCCAGCGCTTGTATGGGCTCCCATTAATTCCTTTGAGTTTCATTCTTGTGGACGTACTCCTAGGTGGGATACGTAACACATTAGCTACAACACGGCATGGGTTGATACGCACAATGCCTAGTATCCATTGTTGACTACTGGGTTATTCCCTCCCCTAGTTTTTGTCTCTCAGTATTAGTGTTGGCCCAGCAGGGTGCTTTCGCCATTGTTCTTTATGAACTCTACGCATTTCACCGCTCCTCCCTTTGCCCCTACTGTACTCTAGCTTGGTAGTTTCCAGCACCTAAGATTTAATAATAATAGAATTAGAATAGTATAAAATAAATATGAAATGAAAGGTCTATTAAGTAATACAATATATGCATACGTTCATACTTCTAGAATCTATGCATGTTAAAATGGATCTTCTGTCTCTACTAGATGAGAGCCTGTACAATCACATGGAGTTGTTGTTCTTGCACTGAGAGGCCTCCACAACCTCAAGTATGACTTTTTCTTCGCATGTTAATTCCATTGAGATTCAATTAATGAACCTAAATTCATATTTGTCTTAGAAAGGAAAATGGATCTTGCATTATTCATCCAACTGAACTGTGTGCTTCTTTTCATGTTCTGGTGTTTGTTGCTGCTATTCATCACTGAGAGAGGCTGTTAACCTTGAATATACACTGCCACAAACTGGGCGGAGAAAGGCTTTAGAGGAAAAAACAATAGAAGTCATAGAAACAATGGTACCAAGGACAAGAACAGCTCTCTCGAAGGCAAACATGTAGTAGGTTGTAGAGTATAATTTGAAGTTCAAACTGGGAGGTTTTATTGAGAGGTATGAGGCTTGGCTTATGGTAAAAAAGTTCACTTAGACTTATTGAGTGAATTACAAGGAGAGATTCGCCCGGCTGTCAGGATAAATTCCATAACATTGATCCCCTATGTTGCAAACAATGAATGCTCCTTCCCTAATTGAATTTTAAGAATTTGTTTTTTGTATGATGACTCTAGGTGGGCGTAGAAAGGGAACTCATGAAAACCTAAGGTGCTCTTTTGTGGGATCAAACAATCTCCAAGTGTGTAGTTCAAAAAGATGTGACCTTTGTTGTTTTAGGAATTGGTTTTGGGAGGAGCCATGTTTTCGAGGAAAGGGAAAGAGGTGAAATTTGTCCTCTTGGTCTAAGTTGAAGATATTATCCTCGCAATCCTTAAGAGATTCTAGAACAAAAAAAGTACCTAACGAAGGTGTTAGTTAATAAAGGTTCTTTGGCTGCTAAGGTATATTTTAGGCATTGCAATCTGGTGTCCTCATTCAGAGAGGCATTCTCTTCTCAGTGAAGTACATCCCTGATCTTTTTTAAGATACATGGGAACTTGTAGCAAAACCAGTAGACTCTCCAATTTAGTTGACCCCAAGTTCCGGCAAGGTAGAACTGCTAAAGGATTTGGGGGTTATTAGAGATTGGTGGGAAGATCATATACATGACCATCATTGATCGTTAGAAATTATATAGTAATAGTAGCAAGCCAATTCTTGTGAACTCCTAGAGGAAGCTGTTTAGACTTTAGAGCCATATCACAGAACAATGCCATACCTCAATCCTTGGCCTAAGACCATTGCACAAGACCATTGCACAAGCCCGTGCTTGGGTTGACCAGAATTCTAACTCCTCACCCTCGTAATGAGCCATGTGGACAGAATCATTGATGGTGCGGTGTGGGTTTGTGTAACTGCCACACCAAGTGATGGGCAGTAAAGCGGTGCAGGTCCTGGTGGCCAATGTAATTAAGGGTGAGAGTGTGGGTGTACACTTGGGGCTATATAATTACCAGAGCTTTGAAGGGCATATTGTGTTATATACAACAAGGTGTATAGCATAATGAGAACATGATAGGGCCTTTTGTCTATAACATGTGCATTACTTTTGTGCTTGGGTGCTCCATTTCAAGTGTGTGTTTGTGGAAGGCTGGTCTTGTCTTAGTCTGGTTTGACTTATGCTTGGTGCCTCATGGTCTGGCTAAGTGAAGAAAGCTGGTGCCTCACGGTTTGGGTGAAGAATTAGCCCCCATGACAGCTACCTAGTCATGATGAGGAGCAAGATTATTGCAATTTATCACACCATTTGTGAGCTAATTTAGTGTTTTACAGCATAGAAGAACTGTGCTTCAATGGTCACCTTTATGTGGACAAGCAATGTGATAATTGGGATGCCTCCAATTCTGTTTTCCATTAGAGGACCATGTATCTGAAGATTGTCATTTCATAAGAGATAACCAATGTTTTAGAGATCACCAACTTGCCCGAGTTGCAAAGGAAAATTTTTGAAACATTCGTTTTAACTAGAACCTGGGGTGGGATTCACCCAGGTCGGCTCAGCTCGGGAACCTGGCGAGTCCTGAGTCCACAACTAGAGACTTTCCAAATTTCATCTTTTCTTTTTTTGGGTTAATTTTTTACAGATTTGGCTGAGCCTTGTCTACTCTGCCAAGTCAAAGTGAGTGACTCGGGCTCGGTACCCTGGTGAATACATGCCTGTCCTTGTTTCAGAACTCTGGTGAAAACATTTTATTTGAGATTAAAAGACCAATTCATGATATGTCCACCAAGTCCCTTGGATAGGGATGGGTAGTACATACTATATAAGCCAAGCTAGAGATGAATAACATACATGCTCCACCTGGAAGGGGTGCATTAGCGTGATTGGTATTACATGAGTAATTTTAATCATTATTTAGGCATTATTGTACTTCTTATATTTTTTATCCCTTCTTATAAAAGTACTTATACCCATTTGTAATTATTCAGAAACATTGAACATTAATGCTTTATGAAGGCAATAAGCTCCACTCTGTCCTTTGTCAATTACACCTAGATGGCAATTAGAGCTCTGTGAGGGATCACTAACCAATATAGCCTGTCCTTATTAGGACACAATGGTCTATGGTCATTATAAATTCTTGGTATCACACGGTTAATTGGTATAGTATTTTGCTTACAATAAGAAGATATATGTCTGAAGGCCATGGGAACAATGTTGAATTGTCTAAGGGCCATTGCAACAAATGTTGGAACTTGGAAAAATAGTGTGGAAACCTAGGTGATCATTTAGATTGCTTCTGGGCAC